CCCACGCTGCAGGTGGGGGTGCCAGGGGACTGGGGGCTTTTGTGCGACTTTCCCCAGGGTGGGGGTGGGACGCCGAGAGGCCAAGGGGAGGGTGTCGGGGGCAGTTCTGGGACAGGGGCGGCTTAGCAGAGCCAGCTGTGGACTCGCTGGTCCTGTGGGTCAATCACTTCCCTTTGCTGAACTCCATGCAGTCATCTGGGAAGTGGACACAGCCGCGAAGCCCAGTCGTCTAGAATGACTCCCTCTTTCTCCATCATGGAGTCGTTTCCAACTTAAGCGACCCTGTAGGACACGGCAGAATTCCCCCGAGTTTCCAGACTGTAACTCTCCCAAGGAGAAGCAGCTGGTCTCAAACTACTGCCCCTGGGGCTAGTAGCCCAACGCGTAACCACTGTGCCACCAGGCTACCCCACTCGCTAGCATCGAGTCCATGCTGACTCGTAGCCACCCTCTGTGGGTTTCTGAGACGCTGTTTATGGGAACAGAAAGCCCAGTCTTTTCTGGTGGTTTCAAACTGCTGACCAAGTAGATCCGTGGGGATCACAGCCCGACAAGTAGTGGGGAGCTTCTGGGCTCCCCATCAGCATAGATAAAACACAGGAGACCAAGTTAAATGTGCATACCCACAAACAACAGTGGTCCGGGAGGGAAGGGGCCCCAGAACTAGTCTTAGAAGAGAACCTGGAGGTTTTGCCGCAGACACCAGCTGAAGCATAGGGGGTTGTCAGGCAGAGGCTGGCTGCCCAATCCACCTCCCCAGAATGTCAGCCCCCATTTTTACGCAGCGTGCAATGCTTTTGTTCTGAGGCTGGAGCAGCTGGGGAGCTGCGTGTGCCCCATCCTCTTGCCCTCAGACGTGCTCTGATGACTGGTGTCAAGGTCTGCAGGGGCAGGGCTCTGAAGTCCACCCAGGAGATGACTGAGGCGCAGCCACTTGAGGCCAGAATAGAGTGGAGCGCGGTAGTGGGGACAGGTCCCCAGGGTCCTGCCTTGTGCCTAGCCCCCGTGCTTTCTCTCCAGGTTGCCTGTCTTGCCAGAAGAATGTGGCCTCAACGTCACCTGCCTTAATGGTGGTCGGTGTGAGGTGGGGCCCTGGGGCTCTAACTGCAGTTGTCAGGAGGGCTTTGCTGGCCGGAGGTGGGTATGGGGGTCCGGGCTGGGAGATGGGCTAGTGAGCCTGGGGATCTGGGCAGAGCTGGGCCCTCCAATCAGAGCAGAGGAGGTGGGGTGTGGGTTGATGCTTGCTGTCCGCTTCCATCCCTCACTACCACCAGGACCAGTCAGCCCACCCACAGTTAGCACCTGAGCTCTTCCCTCCTGGGGCTTCCAGGACCATCCTCTGTGACACAGACATTCACTGGGAAGTGGTCACCCTAGTGATGCTCATAAAGTCCCATTCTCAGCCCGCCTGCACCAGCACTACCGGGGGAGACAGTATACGCTCAGATTCTGAGCCCACTCCTGACAGATAGGACCCAAATCTGTGGGGACCTGCATTTACGGATCTGGTGGCGTGAGAGTAATTCTCACCGTGGTGCTATGTGATGTTGGCCACCTGGCAGGAACAGGGCCTGGGGAGAAGAGGGTTGGGGAGCTAAAATCACTGCTGAAGGCAGTGGGTGGCTGTGGGGGGACCTGTTGTCTCAGCCTCTTTTGTTCTCTCCCCCCACAGGTGTCAGATCCCTCCCCTCCCCTGTGATGCCAACCCCTGTCTGAATGGGGGCACCTGCCGGGCAGCTGGTGGGGAGTATGAATGTATCTGCGGCACCACCTTCTCGGGCCAGTTCTGCGAAGTGGTGGTGAGTGGTATCAGAGTGGGTCAGGTGGGCTTCCCCCTCTTGGACTTGAGAGAGATGATGCTGGGGAGGGAGTGTGTACAGCACCTGTGGAACACTTGTGTGTGAGTATGTGGGGTGTGTGTGCAAAGAAGGAGACTTGGCCCCTTCCATGTCATCCATGATTTTTCTACATGCGGGAGAGCCCCAGGAACCTCCCCCATCCCTCATCATTAGACTCGGGGAGGGGCTTCTGTCCAGTGCCCGGGGCAGTTTGTGACAGGGGGACTAGGTCTAAAGAAACAAACTGTCATCAAGGCAATTCTGACTCAGAGCAACCCTATAGATCAAAAGGGAACGGCCTCTGGATTTCTGACTTCTGCCCGGCCCTGTGGGGTTCCCATGAGACAGAATCAGATCAAGGGCAGTGAGAGGGACTAGGTAGGCTGTCAGCTTCTATCCAGGCCAGGATTCAAGCCCTCAGAACCCTGGAGTTCTAGGACTGGTGTTGAATCTGGGAGCCACCCTGAGTCTGGAAAGGAAGATTCAGGAGGCCCGGGATTCTGAGCCAGGGCAGGCCGCTGCTGACCGCCCCTCACACGGGCTCAGCAGGCTGTGGGTGCTGGTGGAGAGGGTTAGTGGGAGGGGTGCCTCTGAAGGAGCCTTGATCTCTGCCGGCTGCTGGCAGCCGGGTCATAAACCCGCAAATCTGCACTGCTTCTGGGGAATCTTTCCTTTCAAGTAGAACTTTTACAGCCTCAGGCTTTCCCAGCCACCCTCCTCAGGCAGAGGGAGGCAATGGTGGAGGCAAACGAGGACCCAGTTATGGCTGGGACCACCTTTCGAGACAGTCTTGGGGCTCCGTCCTGGGGGCTGGGAGTTGGGGTTTAGGGCCGGAGTCCAGATGGGCTGAGAAGCCTCACAGCACAGGGAGAGGGCCTGTGAGTCTGAGACCTTTGCTGAGGATTCCTGGCATTGGGTGATCCTCAGACTTCAGAATAACAGACAAGCAGCCTCTTGGATGAGGGGCCCTGGTAAACCCCAGAGCGCTGGGCTGCTAATAAAAGGGCTGGCAGTTCAAACTCAGCCAGCTGCTCCTTGGAAGGCAGACCTGGCAATTAGCTTTGCCAGGAAACCCGAGGGGGCAGTTCTACCTGGTCACAGTTGTCTCCATGGCACCCAGCCACAACAGCACCTCTGCTGGGCCATCCTGGGTGGGCAGTTGGAACTGGAGGTGGCGAGGAGGATGGGGAGCTCCCAAGCCTGGCCCGAGTCTTCCAGGGACAGGGCCCTTTGATGGAACAGTGGATTCTGGGCTCAGCCTCTTCCCCCTGCTGCCAGTGCCCATCCGTCTGGGGTGTGAGGCTGGTCTCCACAGACACTTCTGCAGTGGGGGAGGGATGAAGCCCTTCGGCAGCCAAGTAGGGAGGGGAGGCTCTAGGTGACAGCACACAGGGGAGGGCTTGCTCCCTCACTGGTTCTGCTCTTTCTCACCGAATGCTCCCAGAGGGCTGCTGACCAGCCTGCTGTGGGCGCCGGGCAACACAGCTGGGAGCGAAGCAAGACCTGGCTTGCCGGGGCCGCCCACCCCCGCTCACCAGGCCATAGGGAGGCGGACGTGAATCCCCAGCACTGTGCTTTGCTTGTGCTCATGATTCAGTGAAGGTCTTTTGGGGATGCTAAGCACAAGGTCAGCAGTCCGAAACCACCCGTTACTTCTCGGGAGAAAGATGAGGCTTTCTATTCCCATAACAAGTTCTAGTCTCGAAAACCCACAGCGACAGTTATATCCTGCCCTGTAGGGTCGCTGTGAGTTGGAATCGACTTGATGGCAGTTTGGAGGGTTTTTAAAAGCCAGAACCCTTGGCAGTGCCCTGACAGGTGCCCTCCTCCCTGCACCTGCTGACAGACCCCTGGGATCAGGCCTCTCACTCCTTCCCAGGGCAGCCAGCTCGCAGCTCTTTTCTCTGAGAGAGAGCCCTCCAGGACCCGTTTCCTGTCTCACCACAATCTCAGGCCTCGTTCTTGTGTCTCTTGCAGAAGGGCCTGCCCCGACCGCCGCCGTTCCCCTTCCTGGAAGTGGCAGTGCCTGCAGCTTGTGCCTGCCTGCTGCTCCTTCTTCTGGGCCTCCTCTCAGGGATCCTGGCAGCCAGGAAGCGCCGCCAGTCAGAGGGCACCTACAGCCCGAGCCAGCAGGAAGTGGCTGGGGCCCGCCTGGAGATGGACAGTGTCCTCAAGGTGCCACCGGAGGAGAGACTTATCTAGACATGACTGTGGTTCCGGCGCCCACGGCCTCCTCTGTGGGCCATTTGCACCTGGAGTCCCAAGGAGCCTGTGGAAAGTGGGTCACCCTTTCTGACCCTCTGGGAGCGGCTTCAGGTCCAGGACACCTGCTGGGGAAGTGCCCCCTTGCTGGCAGCCCCTCCTTCGGCCCCACTGGGGACTGAAGAAAGAGGGTAGCTCAGGGTAGCAGCGCCGGCCAGGCGGGGTCCGGGCATCACCATCAGACCCACCAAGTTCTGCCTGGGCAGGTGACAGGTGGGGCACACGTGAGCCCGCACATGCATGCTCCAGTGTATGTGAGCATCTGGATTGGGGGTGTATGTATGTCTGTGAGCAGGTAGGTCTGCACTGACCTGCGAGCTCTTGGCAGGGCTTGAGGTGTGGCCACACCTTTGGTGTGCATGTGTGTGGGTGGGAGATTGTGACTGTGTAGTGGCAGTCCCACGGAGGAGGTGGCTGCCCTCCGGGGCAACCTTCACCACTTGGGGGCAAGGGCAGTCCAAGACTAGGCATTCTCCAGGGGGTCAGGCCAGGGCTTGGCCGGCCACGAAGGCCCCTGCTCCCGAGTTTTCACTCTAGGCTGCCATCAGAGGCAGGGGGAACCCCTGGTGCGTGGAACTGGTTTCTTGCGGACCAGTCTGGGCTCTGGGCTCGTTACTACCTCCAAGCCTGGGAAGGGCAGCCCCTGCCTACCTCACAGGGCTGTTGTGAGGGCCAGAAAGACCAACAATGAGAAAGAACCAGGAAGTCGCTCAACCCTGATCTGATGTGAAGGCTTGTCTGGGCCGTCCTTTCTGGGGTCGGTGACTCTCAAACCTCCCCCCACCCGACCCCGGCTAGACTTGAGGGGATGAAAGTGGGGGCGGGGGGCTCTTGGGGATGTGGCAAGGAGACTGGAAGGGAGTAGGATGAGGGCGCAATCTTTGTGTTTTGGGCTCAGGGAGGTGGCAGTGCAGACCCCTCAACACCCAAGCCCCCTTCTCCAACAGCCCTGTGGTTGGCTGTCCCCAGCTCGGTGCAGGGCCCCTGGTGTAGTCGCGCCTTCCCCTGACAGTTGCTGGTACGTGGCTGTGGTGGTGGTGGTGGGTGGTGTTCAGGGAGCAGACTCCAGGACAGGCACCACACTGCTGAGAGTAGTGCTCAGCAGACCCTGGTGGCCCCTCTAGGTGTCTCACTAGGATGCTCCAGGTGTCAGGCGCAGGCAGGGGAAGCGGGCCCACCACACTGTAACCTCTGATCCCTGAAGGGCACCTAGTCGAGGGCCTAGCTCCCTATGAGGAGCAGTGAGGGCTTCCTAAGCCCCCTTCCTGCTGGCCTTTCTCCTTCCTGTTTCCCAGCTGTCACATATTTAAACTGGGGGGTGACTACCTACTCCCTTTGAGGCATCCGCCAGCAAGCACCAGGAGGAGCCCTAGGTGACTGGGGAGGCTGGAGTGGGGAGGAAGGGGAGCTGGGGTTAGCAGAAGCTGGGCCAGGAAGGCACCTGAGTTCCAGGTTAAGACGCTTGGTTCTTTATCCTGTAGGAGGTGGGCCCCCGTGCCCTAATGCTCTCCGTGGCCCAGGAAAGTAACAGGAGGCCTCTGGCCCCCACTTGGCCACAGCCGGTTCTCTGGTCCTGTCTGGTTGTGTCAGGGGGTTGGCAAGCCTGTGTTGGTTGGGGATTGCTGAGAAGAGGCAGGCTGCTCCCTTCTGTGGAGGTCCACATCCCTGCCCCTTGGTCTTAGGCTTCTGGGTACCTGCCAAGTGGCAGGCCAGAGTGGGAGGAGGGCCTGGGAGGGTGGGGAGTTGTGGGCATGCCTAATGCCCACCGGAGGGCTGGACCCATCTCGCTCCTTCAGGACAGGCATCCAGCACGAGCAGCACAGGTGCCGCCACTGCCCTCGCGAAGGCGAGGGGGAGGCCATTTTCCAGGTGGTGTTTGAAATTGCCCTTTCTGTCTTCTGTGGCCCACAACCCCTGCTGGGTAGACCTGCGGCAGGCCCATGGCCAGACCCGACATCCTGGTGGTGAGGGCTCAGGATGGGCTCCACTCAGAGCCCAGACTGGAAACAGGCTTTGAAGCCAGCCAGGGTTCAAGTCCCTGCCGAATTCCTCCAGGCCATGGTCCCTGGCTCTGTGGTTCTCTGCTTGGTCCGGCCATCAGGGCCTCCCACACTGGGTCTCCCCGCCCTCGGGAGCCTCCTTAAGACAAAGGGATCGCAGCCTTCTTCCCAAGGAGGTTTTATTGAATGCACACACAAAATTCATTCTTGATTTGCAAAATCAATCCAGCAAGTGAAGAGACAACAGAGAGTGCCCAAGGGAACGTCGGGTGTGCACACCAGGCTCCCCGTTCACCTCTGCTTGCTGGGTGGGTCCCCACTGCAGCCAGAGAACACTGCCCCCCAAGATTCGAGGAGATTTGCCCATGGGGGTCATGATTGACTGGGGAAGGGCCTGTGTGCCAGGCCAGCAGCTCGAGAACCCCACATTGGAGCCCACTTTGGGGCCAGCCCCTCGGTCCTCACAGAGCCATGTGAAGCACCCTCGGCCCCAGCCTGGTGCTCCCTGGGGAGTAGGGTCTCCAGGGATCCCCCACCCCACACCCACCAGACACCCATGCGTAGACAGTGTCTGACTGTCCACAAGCAGGAAATGAGAAATCAGGTCAAAATGCTCCCAATTTCCTGCGGGTCTCAGAGGGTTGTTTTCTCACATGGTTGGGTCCTATTTTAACTTGGTTCGTGGAGTCAGTCCGTTTCAAGATTCATCAATTCAATAAGGTAGAAAAGAAAAGAAAGCTAAAAGAAGCCACAACAAAGCATTTCCGTTGAACTTTAGTGACGTTGGCCTCAGGAATTTTCTGTGCTGGCAGGAACTGAGAGGCAGGGGCGGGTGGCTTCTGGGCCTCCTCCTGCCTCCAGGCGTCTGTCCACTCCCCTGGGACCTGCAGAGGCACTCAGGGCTACTGCCCGCTGCCAACCCAGGAGCCCTAGCAGCTGTGACCCTGGCATCTGCCCATGGCATCACTTGTGGCCTTTGAGCCAGAATCGCTTCCCGGCTCCACCACAGAGTCAGAGCCACACGGCTGAGCCCAGCTCCGACTGCAGCAGGAGAACCGGAGAACCGGCCGCACCTCTGCCTCACACTGATTGAGAAGCTTTCATTTTCATTCCTAAAAATCAGACTTGCTGGTGCTTCCCAGCCCGCATACCAGGCTGGTTGGGGATGTTTGGCTATCACCAGAGACCCCGAGGATCCCTCAGTTCCCTAGTCCCTACCGTGCCCCAACAACTTGAGTTTGGGGTTGGGAGTGGTGATTCACAAAAGGACGGGCACGTGTATTGCTAGACGGGGTTGGGAATGCCCCATCAGGTAGACTAGAGAGGGCTGGGAGAGTCACTTCAACCCCACAGGCCACCTGTGTCCACTACAGACACTGAGGGTGATGCTGACCTTGTGCCAGTTGGTTGGGAGAGCGGACACGGGGTGGTGGTGGGGAGTGGAGAGGCCCTGAGGGGCCCTGCAGTTCCTTGGGGGAGGTCTCCAGAGAGAAGGTGGGCAGAACCCACTCTAGGGCAATCATGGGCCCGGCTAACCTCTTTTATGCAAAGCCAGCCTGGACTGCTGAGAAGGGGAGCTGGTTGGTCAGATGGACAGCTAGGAACGGGGTAGACTCCCAGGCCTGGGCCAGCGCCATCCGCCCTTGGCTGGATCTCAGAGATGCGTGCTGTAGAAGGGCAGGAAGGCAGGCAGAGGCGGGCCCCATCCCTTCCCACCAGCAGAACCTGGGCAGAAAGTGGAGGCAGGGGAGGCAGAGGGCCGACTAACACGGTACCATGGAGGCAGGCCCAGGGCTCCCCACTCACTCGAATGTTTCCCACTGCTTACGGAGCTGCTCCACCGAGCCCGGCGCGGGGGCCGGGCTCACTTCTTGTTTGGTTTTCTGTAACAAATCCTCAAAGGGGTCTCTGGCCTCCCGAGGAGCAGAAGGCTGCAGTGCTGGCTCCGGGCCCTGGGGGGGCCTGGGAGGAAGGAGTGGGGGGTCTCCGGGCCTCAGCCTCAGCCCCTGCTTGGCCTCAGCTGCCCGGGCGCTTGAGCGAGCCAGGGGCAATGTTCGGATTCTCGAAGGGGTGATGGCCGGGGGGCCCAGTGGCTGCAGGGGGCTGGTGTGGGTGCCCATGGGCATCTGGCCAAAGAGGTTGGGCATGGAGAGGGCGCCCAGGTGGGGCTGAGCTCTCTGTGGCACGCAGAAGCTGGAATTGGACAGCAGGAGGCTGGGCCCTAGGGAGGCTGGAGGAGCCCCAAAAGGCCCGGGGGGTGTGGCGACCAGGGGCACAGTGGGCAGTGAGGTTGGCACAGGAGGGACGAATGGGTTGAGTGTTTGCTGCGGGAATGGTGTAGGGGTCCTGGCAGAGGGTAAACTGAACTGGGGGGTGAAAGGGGTGGCTACACTTGGGGCGGGAGGGCCCAGAGGGAGGCTGCTGCCAGGCCAGGCTGTGTGAAGTGGGTCCAGCAGGGCCAGCAGGGCATCACTACCTGGGCTGGGGGTCCCCGGGGCTAGGCTGAGAGGCTGGAGCAGTTCGGGGTTGCTGTGGGGCACAGTGCCAGGGAGGAGGCCCGGGAATGGGGCTGGGCTCGGGGTAGCTCGCCTTTCCCGCTCAGCCTGCAACCACTCGGAGGTGCCGGCAGCCTGCAGCTTGGCAGGGCGCGTGATGGGTGGTGGTGGCACAATGCCCAGCTCTGGGGTCTTCCTGCCCTGGGGCCGAGGGATGGTGATGCTGCCTCGAGGGGGCGTGGGGATCTCCTCCTTGTTCCTGGGGTTCAGGACGCTGTCCGGATTCTGGGGCCGGCGGGGCAGTGCCAGGGAGTTTCCGAGCGGTGGCGAGGGCTTCTCGGAGGCGGCGGCAGGGGGCTTGCTGGGGATGGCCATGTCATCCTGGCCCAGACTCCAGAGCTTGTTGTACGGGTGGGCCAGCCTCAGGGCCACGGGCATGCCCCGGCTTCTCTCGCTTCGGCCCAGCCCCAGCCTCTGTTTGGAGAGAGCGGGGAAGGCAGTGACCACGGCTGACTCGGTGGCGTGGAAGTATGCTGCTGAGGATGCCCAGCAGGCAGGTGGCACAGGGAGGTGGAGAAGGGACATGAAGAAGGGACTCTGAGCAGGTGAGGATCTGCCCCAGGTCATCCAGCGAGAACCCAAGCTTGCTGGACCCCCCTGCCCCGGTGTCCTCACTGTGTGACACTAGAGGGTTCCAGAGAACGCCCGTCTGTGGTGCCCACGGCTGCCTTGTGGTTTCAGCAAAGTGCCTCCATTGGTGTGTTTTCCTTCTCTGAGGGTGTGGGCATCCAGGCCTGAGAGGGTGAGGCTCGGGGCGGGACAGAGGAAGCAGGGAGATGGATTCAGGTCCCTGCTCTGTTCTCCTAGGTGGGGTAATCAGCACTAACTGACCAGTTTGCTCAGCAGCACAATGGGAGTAGCGCTCCCCCTGCAGGGCAAGAGATGAATTCTTGGACTTGTAGATGCTCTGCCAATCCCACAGCATGACCCAGAGCCTGCAAAGTCCACAGCCCCTGCGCATAAGTGGGGAAACCGAGGCACAGGGCAGGAAGTGACTGGAAGTTACACATGGTCATCGGTCCCACAGAACCATCCTGAACCTAGTTTCAACGGGCCTCGGAGGTGATGGGAGAAATCCCAATTCTGCGGGGGCCACAGCTCCTGCTGGGGTTCCTGAAGAGAGTGGCTTGGAGTACCAGCCTGATGCACAGCAGAAGGGTGGGGGGCAGCTATCCATTGAGCTTGGGCACTGCCTCCAGGGGCCAGTCAGCCCTCAGCCACTGGTTGAGGAGCGTGGGAGGGTTGCTGCCCTTCCCTTAGCCCATCCCTCTGTCAAATGGGGGACCTGCCTGGTGTGTGTGGGACGCACCTACCCCCAAAGGTGCTCTCCCTGCCCACGCATACCTGGTAATCAAAGGTCCCCGGCTGCTCCTGCAGGTCTTTTGGCATCCGAAGGTCCTCCAAGCTCTTGGCCTGGCCCAGAGGCTGCAGGGGGGCCTCCATCTCCAGGCTGCTGAAGATGTCCTCCAGGAGGTCAATGCTGGCAGCCCGGTCAGGGGGTGCTGGGCCTGGCACTGGGCCCCGGGGAGCCCTCGCTCGTTGCTCTGGACTCTCCACCTCGTCACCTTCTGCGCTGTCTGACTCCTTGAGTGTCCGATAGGGCTGGGGCCTGAGGGGAGAGAGCAGGCTGCAGAGTCCCCCCGGGGCCTGCATGTGGGAGCACATACTCCCGAGCCCCCTGGGAACTTCAGTTTTTGGGGTGTATGCCCAGCCGGCCTTTAGGAAGGAGTGGCCAGGGCCCTTGGTGCCCGGGACTGGGTAGTAAGGGTGTGAGCTATGCCTGGGGACAGGCCTGGGTCTGAATTTGGGGGTCTGCCCACCGTGGGGCCTTGAGCAGCCATGCTGGCTCTCACTTGCATGGAGGGGGCCCGCTGTTGCTGTGTGCCCCCGAATCAGTTCTGACTCAAAACAGCGACTGGGTCAGACTGCTCCATAGATTTCCTAGGCCTTAATCTTTATCTGGGCAGATCCCAGGTCTTTTCTCCCATGGTGGGTTTGAACTACCAACTTTTTGGTTCATAACTGAGCCATGAACTGTTCATTGTGCCAGCCGTGTTCCAATGTGAGGGGCCCCACTAAATCCTCCTAAAACCACAGCTTCCCCCACCCCATATGACTGGCCGGAGGGGATTACAGAGCCGCTCAGACAAGGTGTAGGCAACAGGACACACCTGGCAGGTGGTCCTGAGCCCCATCCAGCCAGGACCCATGATTGGTAGCAACCCAGCAAGTCCCAGTATCCTCTGAGAAAACGTCTGGGCTTTAGCTCATCCTGGGTTCCACACCAGGTTGTGCCATTGCCTGCTGTGCTTGCTTGGGCAAATCACTTGACCTTCCTGAGCCTCAGTTACCTGAGCAGATGCACACAGGTATGCAGAAGCCAACAGCATCAGCAGCCGGCCAGTAAGCGTGACCCATCACGTGGGCTGGCTGTGTGAGCCCAGCAAAATTGCAGCAGGCCAGAGCTCCTCTTACCCACCTTTCCCACAAGGCCCCGCCCTTGTATGGGGGAGCCCTGGCCTGTGGTGGAGACACTGGCCAGAGCAGCAGTGACTCACCCCAAAGCAGGGACACTGGGGCCCAGGGACTGGCTGATCTAGGCCTGCTGCTCTGTGTGGTGGAGAACGGGTGCCACCTGCTGGTTTTACACAGGCTGCTGGTCCCAGGCCAGCTGAAGACAGGGCAGGAGAGACTGACCAAGAGTCCCCATTACCAGTAAGGACTCTATCCAGCACTGAGGCCAGCAATCCCTTGGGGAGGGCTCACATCCTTACTCACAGAGGCTTTCTAGCCCAAGGGGAAAAGAGAAAAAAAAAAAAAAAAGAACCCCACCATAGAGTCAAAGGACAGAATAGACTCAAAGAACCTTTAATCCAATGTATAAGGAGCTAGCCTTGGTCAGCTGTTTGAATCTACCGGTGGCTCCGTGGGAGAAAGATGAGGCTTTTTGCTCCCGTAAAAATTTACAGCTTCAGAAACTCACAGGGGCAGTTGTATTCTGTCCCATAGGGTCACTATGGGTTGGAAACAGCTGGGTGGCAATGTTTTTTGTTTTGTTTTTGGTAAACAAGTTTAAGGAGCTCTGATGACACTATGGGTTAGGTCTTGGGCTGCTAACCATGAGGAAGTTCTAACCCGCCACCGTTCCTTGGGGGGCGGAGGAGGCTGTCTGTCTGCTTCTGTACAGACCTAGTCAACTTGAGGGCTGTGGGTGGCCTCCAGTCATGGTTACATAAAGGAAAGGCAGTGGGCTTCTGAAGCTTACGGCAGCAGTGCTCTTACACGGCATTGGTTTTCAGATGGCTCAGTTCCTATTGGAACACATGCGGGCCTGTCCTGACCCTGCATTCCTGGGGGAATGAAGTGAGCGTGATCTACTGTTTTATTAAGGAACACGTGAACTGGTTAAAAACAGAGAGCCATGGGGTTGAGCCCTGGGCCTGATCTGCTGGGTGAGGAAGTGGGGTCCCTTGGACATCACCCAAACTGGGAGCCTCTGTCTGCACATCAGGTGATTTCTTATTCTAATGGTTCGTCCCTTCTTCATTTTAACTAGTCATGGAAATAACTGGAAGACTAAGCCTATGACATCAGATATATTATTGCATAGGACAAGGCTGATATTTAAGGCTTTTAAAAGAAATATTCCGGGGAAAAGATTCCATGCATGGACAGGACGGGCTGTGAGTGCCTGCGGGGACACGCTCACAGGCCCCGATTTTTAAGTGAGGCTCTCACAAGGAGAGAGGCACACCTGCGGTCACAGGTGAGCTGGTGGCAGTCCAGGGCTAGGGAGCAGATGTCTGGTGTCGGGCACAGCTGCCCTCTGGGGACAGTGGCGGGAGGCAAGGCCCAGCCCAGGAAATGGGCTGTGATCTCAGGGAAGCCTGGCCCTGGGTTTCCAGTGGGGTTTGTGCGTAGGGAGCAGCTGGCCGAAGAGGGTGTGGCCATCTAGCAAAGGGCAGAGCCCTTCTTGTAAAAGCGCTTATAGGACCTGGTTAACACACACACACACACACACACACACGCACGCACGCACGCACGCACGCACGCACGCACGCACACACACGACTGTCCCTCTGCTCAGTCCCAGCTCTGAAGACCTCTGTGGTGGAGGGAAAGTGGGTGGGCAAGCACTGGCAAAGGAGAGAGAATGAGAGGGGTGCGGGGGGTGGGGTGAGGCGGGGCTGCGGTGGAGCCTCCTCTTCCCCTCTGCTGCTTTCTTGCTACTGGTTCCTGGTATGTGGTATGGGCCACACATGACAACGGTACTGCTTGTTTCCAGAATGCTGGGCAGACTGGAGAGCCCTTTGTGCACCTCCCATGATTGCTCACGCCTTTTTTAACTTCAGTCAGGCGTGCCACCTCTGTGGGCTTCCTCAAATGTGCTGAGAGGAAGCGGGTTCCTGCTAGGTGCCATCACGCGGCCTATTTGCCGTCCTCCGCAGCTCAATGAAGGCAGAGGTGGCTTTCCCTTCTGAGGGGTGGGGACCCATCTCCCACGTAGGTGGCTTGCCACCACCCCTGTGGCCTCATTTGACCCTGTGGGGGTGGGGGTGGGGGTGTAGCAGGAAGCTCAGGGATGTGGCCCTCACCCTGGGAGTTGGCACTTGGGGGCCTTGGCAGGGAGCAGCTCAGACGCCCCTCCCCACACCAACAGCAAGCAGCAGAGCGCCCCCCCCCCTCCCCGCCCCCTGGTGCCCCGAGAGTCACCAAGCCGAGCTCAAGGCAAGCGTCTGGTCAGGGGAACGGAAGAAGGAGAGACCATTCAAAGGGAGCAGAGAAGAACAAGCTGTCGGTGAAGCCAGAGCTGGGGCCCTGCCGCTGGCATTCCTCATCAGAGGACTCTTCGGAGAGGAAGACCGCGTAGTGTCGCAAGGGCTTTACCAGGCTGGGGCGGAGGAAGACAAAAGAAAGAGAACAGGCAATTAGGGGCATCGTCAGGCTTAGGAGGCTGAGGCAGGCGGGGGGTGCTGTCCTGACCCTGCAGGCCTGGGGGGCAGGGTCCCCAGAGGAAGGCCTCAAGGCATGGGGGGGGATGTCTGACAGGCTCAAAGGTGTAGGAGTCGGTGCCAGATAGAAAAAGAAATGGTGGATTTGCCATGGGCCACGAGCCTGAGACACACTCCTCCTCCCCGATACTCCTAGTGCACAAGGCTTAGGTACAGAGATGCCCGTCCCTCCTGGGCACAGTATTCAGACATCGAAAGCACCTTACCTTTCCAGCCATTAGGGCTGTGGTTGAGTGACTAGCTGGGTGAGGCGTGTGCTCTCCTGAAACACAGTGCTTAGGGAGAAACAGTATTCAGCACCCCTTCTGCCTGACTGGCAAAACCGTGTCTCAGTGTCAGCCACAACCTGCGGGATCGCGGTCACTCTCCTCCCGCCTCTGTTTCCTGGGGGCTTCTACCTTTCTCGCCATGCGCCCATCTACTCCGATCATCAGGGAGACAGACAGACGTGAAGGGGGAAAGCAAGCCATGTGGAGGAGCTCTCGAGAGAGAGGGCCACTCTCCAGAGTCTCCCCGCAGACGCCTCTTCAGAGAGTCTGTCTCATCTGCGATGTGGAAATTAAATATTCATCATGATAAAAAATGCATCTCCCTCGTCAGCCACCTGTGAGCGCTACCTCTATAAACACAAACACATACACAGCCCACAGCAAGGCCACGCTGGTGGCCATGAATTCTGTATACAGTGGACAGGCCGGGAGAGGCTGTGTGCTCAGGGGAGGAGGTGGGCCGGTGAGTCTGTGGTTCAGGTCCCAGTGCCGATCACCGAGATGTCTCTCCGGGCCTGTGTGGTGGGTGTCGGAGAGCTCCTGGGAGGGGCTCATGCATGGGCCGAACTGCCACCCTCGCTCTTGCCCTCCAGCCCAAAAAGTCTTGTCGACTTCATATGACTTCCCAAGACAGAACGCCTTTGCGACTTTATGTCAGGGAAGAGTGGCGTGCTGAAAAAGAATACCCAGAGGCCACCGGGGTTGGGGGGTGGGGGGGATAGGACGGAGTGATGGTCTCCAGTGGATTCTAACAGTGGATTTGGTCTGGGTTAGTCTTCTCTCTAGTCGCTGGTTCAGGTCCCGTTGATAGCCGAGATCATGCGGTTCTTCTAGAAGTGGTCCAGATGCTGGGTCTGAGCACGTCCACACCACGCCTCCCTGGAGCCCAGCCGGGGGAAGAGTCCTGTCTTGTAATTAAGTGGAGCCATCCATCCAGGGCCGCACCCAGGAAGCTCCAGGGGGCAGCGCTCCGCTCTTCCGGCTGCCTTGCTGGGTGTCACAGGCTGGATGAGACACACCTCGGCCCTTCCTGAGCCAGGGATGCATTTTCCTTTGGCTTCAGTTGAGAGGGCAGGAGAAAGCCATGCCCCGACACCCCGAGCAATGGCAGCTCAGCTCCTGCCACTTCTGCTGAACCCAGACAGAAAACATGAGAACGGGGGTGGGAAAGGGGGTGTCAGGGTCACTGTCTCATCCTCCTCTGACCAGCAGCCTGCTAGGAACCATGGGTCCGAGCTTATCTCCTGCTTAAGAAATGCCAAGCTGTGCTTTTGAACCCTTCCCTTGCCATTGGGTGTGGGCCGAGTAGATTCATTGCACAAAGCGTTGAGAATCCTAACACTCAGCTGTGTGGACAGCTTTACACATCTGTTCAGTTTAGGGGATCCACTTTCGAGCACGTGTGGACTGCTGCTCTCTGGAGCAGGGCAGGGAGGCGGTTCAGGCAGGTACCCGGGACTCCTGCTCATCCTTGGGGGCTCACGCATGGGCTGCTGGGTCCTGCCTGACCCACCTCTGCACACAGAGGGCCCCCGTGGCAGCTCTCCATCCTCCATGGTGAGCTGGCTGCTCGGAGGTTTTGCAGACTTGCGGCTCAGGTGCCACTTCTTCTAGGAAGCCCTCCTGGAGTGCCCAGACTGTGTCTTCTCCCCGAAGGCTGTTCACTTCTCCCCATGCTGCGTGTCTTTGCACTTCATGGATACCGCCCAGTCCGTTTTCTGAGTTGAGCTTTCTCCATGGGAACAGAGACCTGGCAGGAAGGCAACGACGTTTGTGGGACACATGAAGGCAAGCATGCTGGGAAGGTCTCTCTGGGGACACAAGGCAGCACATGAACCTATGGCACCCATTCCTGAAGCGTGCCCCTCAGATGTCTCCTGCCATCAGCTTGTGGCTGGGGTACAAGTGTCCTCTCTCTGGATTCCACCATCTGCCCTCTGAGATGCCAAGGCATGTACAAGAGGGCAGTGCTTGGGGATGAGGGTGTCAAGTGTACAGGGGCAGGCAGGAGTCTTGGAGACGCATTTAAGATAGGATCCATCAACAGGCACCAGGCCAAGGACCCCTGGTAGCACAGATGG